ATTTAAGATTTGAATATGAAAATTTTAATTTAAAATTTCAAAACATTACTCAATTGAGCCAAAGGTACTTTTTTATTTTTCATAATTTCACATTTTGTGTTTCCTACTAATAAATAAAAAATATAATCTTTTTATTATATAAATTATTATTTAATATACTAAAAATAACTATATAAGTAAGATGAGTTAAAATATATTAAAAAAAAATTACCTCTCGTCCTACAATTCGAAATAAATGAACAAATAAAATCAAGTTCATCAGTCATAAATCATAATAGTTTGATAAAAAAACCTAATCTCAAAGTAGACCGTTTGTAAACCCTAAAGATAACCCAAAAAGATAAAAAAAGAATAAAGGTTGAGTGCAATTATTGATCCCCATGTGCTGACCAAATTCCACATCTAGTGACAGATAAGAGAGAGAGAAAGAGAGATTTTAGGACGGGAATGAAAAGGACAATAATTTGAGGGAGTTAAATTGCTATCATTATTGATTTCTCGTCATCATAAATAAATTGCAGTCCTGCTTAGAATTTTACATACAACAGCTCAATGACTCTTTTTATGATTGACTACAAAAGAATGAATGCAGGTCACAATACCTATTCACTTCTTCCTGTATCTACAATCCCCACCTCCTTTACCTGTTCCTACTACCCTTCTTAAACCATTTTGAACGGAAAAGAACCAAAAAATTATTAAGGAAAAAGAAAAAAGTAGACAACATTTCAACATCCCTTGTCAAACTTCATGCGGTACACGGGTCTTTATAGGTTTCAGTTTCAAACCCATGCTTTCTGGAGAGAGAAGCTCTGGGGAGATGCATGATGGACTTAGTGGGCTCCGAGGGCTGTCACTCAGCTGGCTAGGTCTGTACAACCCATACCCCATGAAGAAGTACTCCATGGGTATCAACATTGCATGTGGCTGCTCTTCTGTTACCATTGATCCGCAGGCCTGGACCTGCAAAGACAAAAACAATCCACACATTATTGAATACCAGTCATGTAGATCACTGAACGCATAAGCTGTGCAGTGTAATTCAAAGCATTGTATTTGTAACACAAACATGTGAAAAAAAAATTACGCTTCCATACCTCAACTAAGGCACTAAACCTTTTATCTAACTTTGATACCATGTGGAGAGCCTCAGAATGGAAAGGAGAGTTATCCCCAACAAATATCAGGGTTCGACATTTTAGCCTCTTCAACCCACTAGTAATGTCAGGTCTCCTGCAGGTTTGGTAAAAATGGTTCGGGCAATTTAGATCTTTATTCTACAGAAAGTAAAACTTAGTAACAATGTAAAAAACAAGTAAAATGAAAAAGGAAATAAGCCACTTTTACGCACCTGTTAATTGCCTGGAGAAATGGGATAACATTTGTGCTCTGCCTCTCATCCAACAACTGAAGAAAAATATGTTACAGGAATCAATCAGCCGTTACCATTTGATAATCCATAAAAAGGGGAACTCAAAATCCAAAACAAAGAAGCTTAGACACTAACTCTTCTACATGCTTGAACTATATCTGACTCTGGAACTTCAGCATTACCACGGACTTCCTGATAGAACATGCAAATCTCATCATTAAATATTTGAAATCAATGTGAAGCAACCAAATAAGAAATTGATTGTGAGGTGCTAGATACCTTGCTGAAGTATCTCTGAAGCAAGAACTCTTGAAGTAATCCACACATACCATAAAAATATAACAAATTCAACATAACCTACAGATCACAGGAAATTCAGTTATAAAATAGAAATTTATGAATAAAAATAACCAATAACAATATCCTAGTTAAGAACCTTGTTATAAAACCATTCAGTCCAGGAGGGAGCTTTGCATAGTGGAGATATAAGTATCAAACCAAGAACACGCTCTCTATATTTCATCTGCAATGCAAAATCCATTGATGAAAAAAACTGAAATCACTGGAATAACATTTATCATGATTTTTTGAGGAGAGAGCATACAGCAAAAAGAGTCAAGATGTAAGCACCCGCTGTTACTCCCATGCACATAACTTCACCAAGCCTGAAAAGGAAATTGTTCACACAATCAGAAACTAAGCTAACAAATGATCCAAAGCAACAATAAAGATACCAAAGAGAGAACACTCCCACAGAAATATTTGTGTGCTCATCAAGTTAAAAAACTATAATGGAATTAATAGTAATTATAGCAATTAAAGAATACAACTTTTAAGTAATCTAAAAATGTACAGGAAATCTGACAACTCCCTAGTAAGATGCCAAGAGACTCATTATCAGCTAAGTAGGTGTAAACCTTCAATGATAGAAACATTTGAATAGCAGAAGTTGAAAATGCAAAAAATAAGTATCAGAATTATGATTACCCGAAATAGTTAAGAACCTCAAGGATCTGATCTGCTAAGTCATCTACAGAAGGCGCAGGATAATTTGGACATATTGGAGCAGCTCCAAACTGCAAGAACTCTTATGAATGTTCCAGAGAAAAAGCTATGTGAATAATAGTATCCAGTGATTGATATTTTTAATATCTGAATTTCCACAAAGAAATTGTAATCAGAAAAACATGAAAACGAGCCCGAGTCAATTAATTTACAGACCTCATGCCCAGGAGGACTGATGTGGTAAATGCAGAAGTTGTGGAGCAGCAAGGAAGCTGCCTCTGGACAGAAGAATAGTCCTTGGAAACAAGACATATCTGGAGAAAGGTAGCCACAGTGAGGAGCAAAACCAAAGTTATATTGCAGATTTAGAGATCAAACCAAATTTAAAGAATCAAAGATTCTGAATACAAATATATGTTTCTAATGCTTCAGTATCAGAACCCAAAGACTTCACTGTACTTACGATTTAGTGCTAGATCAGGATATGTTATCAGTGCAGGCTTGTCTTGGTCTCCACAGACTATAACAGACACAGAACCACGGCCTGTAGGTACATGGTATTCCTGCAAGATACATTACAAATCCATATAAGATGCACACTAGCCAACAAATAAAAGCAAATATTTCAATCAATGTTGAAAAAAGATGCATATGAAATTTTGACTACCATAATTTTTTTATAACTACTAAATGTATTTGTTCAATAAGAATAGCCTTCTTCAAAGCAATGGATCATTTGTTTTACATGACCCCTCAGGGAAAAAAAAAGCTTGCTCCTACATCTGGATAAGTTTATTCTTCAAAAAGCCTTCCCATGTGCACTCACCCCTTTTCAGGAAATAAAACTTGCCGCATCATAGTAATGTAACTTTAAATCATTACATGTACGAAAATAAATAAAAGGAAAAAGAAATAAAGTAACAGCTAGACAAATTAGTAATATTAAAAAGAAATGAAACAAGAAAAGGTATAGCCAAGGTTTCTTCAAGGGACTGCAACATACTTCCAATAATCCCAAGGAATGAATTGATGAACAATCCAACTTCTTTAACCATAAAAAAGGTCAAACAAGGAGGAAAGAATCTCTAACAAATCCCTTCTATCTTTAAGGAGGAAAAGGCATACAAACTCAACGAGAAAAGCAACAAGAAAAACAGGAGGATAAAACAAGAGTAGAGAAAGTAATAACAGTTTGTATATAGTACTAATTAAATGAAAACGAAGGTATGACTCAATAAAGATAAAATTTACGAAATCCCCCGAATTTTTAATAATTTACATTAAAAGGAACAATCTTGAACAAAATAAAACGTACCCCTTTTAGTATTTTACCATTAGAGGGAAAAACAAGAAAAATAGAGATTACAATACAGCTTTCTAACAGGGAACAAGGGGAAAAGGCAATCTCGTCTGGAAATGGAGACAACCGTTTTTTCAGCAAGTCTAAAATGAATTCACCAAATAACGTATTTGTAGATCTGCTGCAACCATTTTTAGATATTCAAATACAGCAGGTCATTCAATCACTTAAGAAAACAACCAAATTTAACTAACCCATAATTCCCATACCCAAAATTTAAGGCTAGTTACTTTAATTTCTGAAAAACGAAAAACCTACAATACCATTTGGGCCAATGATCGAACTTTTAAAATGTAAATTCCTTTTTAAACGATTTCAAATGCAAATTCAAGAGAACCATAAACAAGAAAGCAGAAACCGAATTTGTTAAAATTGAACCAAATTTCTGCAAACCCAAATAAATTTTTTTGACGAGAAACGGAAAATAACAGTTCGTAATGTTCAAAAATTAACTGAAGATTGGAAAAAAAAATGTGGGGAAAAAGATTGAAACCTTTCCACCAAGATAGATCTTGTCCGCATCGATGGAAACGGAATCATTAGACTCTGCCATGGCCGCGGCTTCCTGTGTTCCAAGAAAGCAAAGCTTAGCTTCTTTGTTAACCCAACAACTTGTTTCCTTCTCCGGCTCTCTAGAACCTTCTGTCTCAGTCTCTCTTCTCTCGCAGTCTCGCCTTCTCCCTCCTCCTCTTCTCTCTCTTGGTTCGAGAATTATGGTGCTTTGGCTTTGATGGCTTATATACAAAGCGATTCTTTCTTCCACCTCCGGTTAATTTTTTAACCAGCGGTGACCCTCCACCGACGATTTTGTGACATCCCGTGTCCGTTAAAAAGACTATTCTACCCCTTGACTCGTCTGCCCAAATTTTAACCGCGGTCAGAACCGTCAGATCGAGGGAGTCTTTTCAGTTAGTTAAACGACGTCGTTTTTTGACATCTGTGTGAAACTAAATTTAGATGACTTCGGTATTTGAGCCCAATTAATCTTATTTACCCACGTTGATTATAGAATGAGAATGGTATTTATTAGTCAAATTATTAAAAGATTAAGAGAAAAAATATTTTATAATTA